ATTTCTTAGTTTTGTTAGACAATTTCAAGAACTCTCATTTAATATAATAGAAGAGTTCATGTTGATATCATGCCCCATTTTTGTTAAAAGAATGAGCTATAAATGAGTTCAACCTTTCTAATAATCTTATGGATTGAGTACCTTCATTATGAGTTTTTGTTTATAAGAATAAAAGTTTTAGGCCCGTTTGGTTGTATGTTTCAAAGTATTTTTTATACTTTTGAAAGTATGGAAGTACAAGAAGCGTGTTTATTTGACATGTTTTTTTATTTTTAAAAAGTATAAAATATAAGTACAAAAAATACAAATTGCATGAAGTCATCTTTTGATACTTCGTGCTTTTTAACTCCCTAACATACTTTGTATTTTCTAAAATGCTTTTACTAATCACACATGTTATATATACACTCTACTACATGGTAAGTGTATAAGAATGACATGTGAAAGCATAGGCACATTAATGTATTCAATGGCATATGACATGCAATACCGTTGATTTACTTTGAGGTGCCACATGGTATCATTTTATGCTACTACATGGCATTCACATATCATTAATTTAGTATTGTTTGGCTCTGTTGGCATTTACAAATGCACCATTTATTGCTTTTAACGTTTATTTGTACAAATTTACTTTAAGCACTTCTTATTTTTATTGTTTGGTTGGGCAGCACTTCAAACGTTTTTACTTTCCACCTCAGATTAATACCCCATAAAAGTATGCCACATAACATTTTGTTTCAAAAAATGTTGGGACATTGGGGGAAACAAGAATTTGACATTTCTCCAAATGCCCTATGTATAAAAATCCAAGTGTTTGTGATTTTTACTGTTTAATGAAATCAAACAACTATTTCATGGACAATAAACATCAACGCCTATGTGGTGCTGATGTAATGGCATTTTTTCAATAAACACCCATGGAACATAAAATCAAAACCTTCCTAACATTTAGATGATGTGTGACATTCATATATGATGTCACGTGGCATATATGAAAATCACATGGCATTTGAACATAATTAATAATAATTGTATGCCATGTGACACCATAAATGAATGCAACATGGCATGCAATATCATTGACTTACTTTCAAATGTCACATGACAACATAGATGGATGCAACATAGTTTGTAATATCATTAACTTACTTTCAAATGTCATGTGGCACCTACGTGTCAATGACCCCATATTCAAAAGGATGCCACGTGTCAATGATCCCATATTCAAATACCCCGTCATATCTACATATTATTGATTTGTATCTACACACGTATAAAATAATTTGTTGTATCTAAATGCTATTATTTACTTTCTCTTTGAAAAAATTCTATCCGAACAGTTTTTGAAGTAAAAGAATGAAATAAAAAATATATTATATTCTTTGTACTTTCGTGAATACAAACAAACAGAGATCTTTTGAAAAAATAAATAAATAATGATTTTAGTTGGATGAGGTAATCACGTGGGTTTTGGGTTAACATGTTGCTTTGTACTTGTTGAACTAGGGTTTTGTATCAAATGAATCTCATATTCCTAGTAGCAGTCCCGGGCTCACCTATTCTTAGGCCGAAGTTACTTGCTATAGTTACACTTTCATCACTTCAACGCCCCATTTGAATGAAGTAACGAAAAGCTTAAGTTTACCTGAAAAGTTTGACGGATTGGTTGGGCTTTCTCTTGGAGTTAAAGGCTATTAAGACCAATAAAGTCTCATCTCTGACCCTAACATCTGCGCAGTTTCATAATTGTCATTTTTTTTTTCCATTCTCCATCCTGAGTTAGACTTGGTGAGTACGTTATTGTGAAAAAGATTATCTAGTGGTAGGTAATAATGTAAAGAAAAAGTCGTGTACAACATATTAGAAAAAGAATGAAATTTTTTGATTTATATGGTGTCATGGTGTGATGGCTTCCTTATATCTAATTTTGATTAGCCAAGTCTGGTTAATGAGTTCACTTGAACTAACATAGCATATAAATAATAAGGTGCTTCAGATGCATAATTAATACTGCTTTTAATAAAACGATTAAAGGCATAAAAGAAAATAACATAATATCTATAATATTATAAAATGGATACTTGCTTTATTTATAATTTCAATTTATAACTTTGTCCTTTTTTTACTTACGTCTATAGTATATGTCCTTGTACTAATAATATATATAATAAATAATTATTTAAAAGAAAACGATTTTAAGCATTTCTATCTTTCCTTACTAATGAGAAATGTTTAAACTTTAAAGCTTAATGAAATGACCCTTGAGCCTGGTAGAGTACCTACCTAACCAAATTTCTTGGTCAGGCCAGCCCAAGAAAGTTTTGCTTGATTGATCCAAATCCAATCCGCAGTTTCACAACCCTAGTTAGCCATCATATGTAAAGGGTTAGGGTTTACTACTCGATAGGTCGTCAACATACCATGGATAAAGTCAAACCGACTTGGATAGTGACATATATCGGACTTTGATCATACTTCCATCCCAGCTGTTTATCCTAACTTGACCATTCCAAGCAGCACTAGTGTGTAAACAAGCTGTAAATAGTGGGTTTTTCCGATATATAGGACAAGGGCCCAATACTAGGGTTGAAGTAAATTCTGGCCCACTTATTGAATTCTTATTTCTTAGTAATTGATCATTGTAATATAATTGCATTACACCCTAACCGTGTACAAATTATAGAAGAAGATGGTGAGTTTTTAATATTACAACCATATACAGTCTATAGAAGATAAGGTGGCCGATAGCAGGCATCCACCACGCTTTGATAGGTGGAATGTCAATTTTTTGTGGAAACAAAGTTGCGAATTCTCTGATTGTTGGTGAATTCAATTTTTTGAAGCGCGATTATTTGGCTATTTGAGCTCGGGTCAAGGCGTTGGTGGGTTTGACAGACTTTTTTTTAGAAATCGGATTTGGTATTCACAAATTTGTGCTCAAACCATTCTCACAGCTATTATTGAGAACATTACTCGAATAAAAAGATAAAATATGGAGATACACAGCTAAAGAGGGTTGTGAGAAGGGTATGAGCACAAATTTGTAAACATCAAACCCGCTCTCCTTTTTGGAGATTGACACTATTTTTAATCTGATTATACAAATACAATTATACAATACATGTGTTCTCGTTTTTTACATTTGGGTTGGAACTTGGAATTGCGTCTAAGCTAAAGTCATGAAGACTTGTTTCAAAACAAAAAAAAAAAAAAAAGAAAAAAAAAAAAAAAACAACTGAAAAGCCGAAAGAAGGCTTTTATAAGCCGCAACTAAATAGCATCTCGTAAGCGGCTCAATCACCACAGAGGCCCTCTGAAGTGAGGTCACGTAGGACCAATAAATACGTACAGCCACAACCCAATCAATATCTCTGCTTTTCAGTACTTATTACTTCTAAAAGGGTGCCCTGAGCCCTTGACCCTATCTTTGCCGGACATTTACACCCTTACCTAAAAGTTAAAATACAAATGCTCAATTGAATTGAATAGGGGTATAAATGCCTGACGCCTAGTTAGAAGAACTTGGCAAAGAGACAGAAACTTGTGTGGAATTACTTAAGCATTCATTTAGATATGGCAATGCGAAGACCAAACAAGATTCATGGAACTGACCTCACATAGCTGATACAAGGCTTAGTTAATATTGATAATGATCAATGCCTAGTAGTCTAATATTAATGTTTTCACACTTTGTATGTTGTATCAAAAGTTAGAACAAGGTATACATAACAAAATTCTAACGTGCATGCATTACTAATAATTTAAAGGGACATCTTTAACCCCATTTAATTCATGGGAATAAGGGCCTAGAATCAGAATTGGAATGTGTTATTCTGATTTTAATTATTTGATTGGATAGAATCAAAATTTTATTCTTATTCTTACTGAAATATTATTTTTTATTTAAGAGAATGATCATTCTCTGTTTCTCAAATCTCAATCGAGAATGAAATTTCATTTTTGTTGATTTTAATTTTTATTTCTATTTTTATTTGAATCAAACAAACAATGAGAATGAACTGTTCCAATTCCAACTCCAAAAAATTTCAATTTTAATTCCGATTCCGATTCCGATTCTAACTGTTAACCAAATGGACCCTCAACTCTTTAATTTAGTCAAACTCCCTTGTGATAATCATTTCGTTTTTTGAAGAAAACTCCAAAACCTATTAATTAACACATTATTTGTTTGTGTAATCTGAGTCAACAAACCATTCAATCAAAGGAAACCCCAAGCCCATCGATTCCGAACCCTAGAAAATAGTCGATAATAAAAAAAAAAAAATAGAAAAGAAAAAACATCAAAGAACTTTGACCTACCCATCTCAATCAATATTCCAATTTAAACAGTCTATTTTTATTTATAGCCATAACGTGTAAAGCAGAGGGCTATGTTATATTTGCTTGGCTATTAAGTCTATTTGCGCCTCAGAGATTGATGAGTGAAGGAAATCCTTTTTCTTGAAAAGCCCCAACTCAACATGCATCCGTGTCGCTACTACAGCCTTCCACCGTTACTCCTACCTTTTTCCTTTCTTTCCCTTTCACACACACTCTCTTTGCTTTCTCTCTCTCTCTGCGACTTGCCTTCTTTTTCTGCAAAATTCTAATTAGGGCGACCGACACTTGTCCTTTAAATTTACACGTGTGACTTCCTGAGCCAATATCTGCATCTTTGTCGATCTGATTTAACCACGTGTGTCTAACACCTACACACGCATTAAACCTTTAAAAATTCCCCCAACTTTTCTAGAACCTGCCTTCGAGACAAGCCACGTGTCCTTGGATGCTTATTCAGCAACGGCAGTTTCACTGCTGTTTCTCGTGACGGTTCATGCACCTAGACAAAACACGCCCCTAGAGTTTCGGATAAGGTCGGCCGCACGATAAGCTCGAACCTTTTCTGCACGTGTCTTTTTAAGAACCGTGATTAACTCCAGACGGGACCACTCCACAGCCATGACCGTACTTATTTTTTCTGCTTATATATAACCTCTGTTAGCTCGAGGCTGAAAGAAGAAAAAAGGAAATTAAAATAATCAATTTGCTTCTTCTCGCTCCTCCCTCCCCCCGTCCGTCTCCCTCTAGCTGCAGAAACAGAGATCAACCCAGCCAGTCGCCGAGGAAAGGAAGAATACCGCCGATGGTGATGTCAGAGAGAGACCCTACTTCCCAGTTAGCGTTGCCGCCGGGCTTCCGGTTTTATCCGACGGATGAGGAGTTATTAGTTCATTACTTATGCCGTAAAGTCGCCGGACATCATTTCTCGTTGGACATTATCGGCGAGATCGATCTTTATAAATTCGATCCGTGGTTCCTTCCCAGTAAGATTTCCACTTCCACATGAACAACTTAGCTGGATTAGGACTATTTTTTTTTTTATCTTGTTCTAAATTGTGAGTTCTAATCTTATAGGTAAAGCCACTTTTGGAGAGAAGGAATGGTACTTCTTCAGTCCAAGAGATCGAAAATATCCAAACGGCTCACGACCAAACAGAGTTGCTGGATCTGGTTACTGGAAAGCCACCGGAACCGATAAAATTATCACGACGGAAGGTCGTAAAGTTGGAATTAAGAAAGCCCTTGTCTTTTACATCGGAAAAGCTCCCAAAGGAACTAAGACTAACTGGATTATGCATGAGTACAGGCTTTCAGAGCCTCAAAGGAAGAACGGAAGCTCTCGGGTAAGACATAAGCCACCAACTTTTCTTCTAAGTTCTAACATGCTTTAGAATCCTACACAGTAGCTGATGATTTTCCTGCTTTCTGTTGTTATTCCAGTTGGATGATTGGGTTCTGTGTCGGATCTACAAGAAGCATTCTAGTGCTGAAAAGTCGGTGCCAGGTACATGGAACAAAGAACAGAGCCATGCCTCGTCTTCATCGTCGTCTTCGCACTTGGACGATGTTCTCGAATCGCTTCCCGAGATTGATGACCAGTTCTTTAACCTACCTCGAATGAACTCTCTAAGAAATTTACAACTTCCAGTTCCAGACGATAAAAGCAATGTTCAGAACATTGGCGCAGGAAAATTTGATTGGGTGAGTTCAGGGATGATGGGTTCTCTGTCCCAACTCGTTTCTAGTAACCCAACACAGAGGCCGGAAACAGAGGTATACGTCCCAACCATGCCTCCACTTCTCCAAGTGGATTCTCCGTCGGAGAAATTTGGAGGGAGTTCCATAGAAGAAGAAGTTGAGAGTGGGCTGAGATCGCAGCGAGTTGACAATTCTAGTTTGTTGCAGCAGCAGCAGCATCAGCAGCATCATCATCCAAGCTCGAACTTATTTGCTCAACAATTACCCGACCCAATTGACCCGTTTGGGTTTAGATACTCTCTGCAGCCGACATCAGGATGCTTCGGATACAGACAATAAGACAAAACAAAGGAATCTCCGAAACCTTTTAAAAAGAGCCCGAAATCGTAATTCCTTTGGCTCTCTCGTGAATCCACCGGGCGCATTTGGGGAATCATTGTGAATTAAAAGCTTGAACTGTAGAAAGTGAGAGAACAGATAAAGAAGGAACAGTGAAAGTGGGTACAAGAGAGAGTTGCAAAAATTAATTTTCATCTACAGTCGTCATTCAATGGATTGTTTTAGAAACATGAAGAGCTGAAAAGCTCGGGTCTCTCATCTTATTCATGGAGATTTTCATTTGTTTTTATTCTTGTAAATAGTTCCTGATTCTTTGGGGCTATTATTGGAATTGGATGAGGAAATCTTTCGCCCCATAATCATTTAATTGGTTAGTGTATAGAATTTCTTGTACACTACTGTCAATTATGGGAAAGAAAGGCTTGAGTTCTTGGGTAGTGATTTTTAATTTTTATGGATTCATTAATACATGTCTTTATTTTATTTCTCATTAACCAATTCATATGCTGGACTATTTTTATTTATAAATGAAAATGGAAGTAATAAGTAACCAGATGAAGTAAATAGAGAGAGGGTGTTGTATTTTGTAATTTAGGCTCATCAGTTTGGAAGGTGTACAAATAAGAGTGCAAAACTTTGTGTTTCACACTGACATATTTGTATTTATACTTTTCTCACACTGAGCTTAAGAAAAACATGTATCATTCTCAAGTGTTACCCTTTCGTTAAAAAGTATTTATGTAATAAACGAGTCATAAATTTGAAATTGAAATTAGGGCTCTTCATAAGGAGACCCAACCGACTTACCCTTTCGTTAAAACGTATTTATGTAATAAATGAGTCATAAATTTGAAATTGAAGTTAGGGCTCTTCATAAGGAGACCCAACCGACTAAACCGATCAACTCGGATCGATCCAATTCGAATTGGTTGGGTTTTTTTAGTACCGGTTGGTTTTGGATTGTAAAAAATTATAAATTGATGGTTCAGGTCGATTTTGGTTTTCATATAAAAATTGAAATCGATTTGAACCGTTGACTCGAACCAATTTAGTAGTTAGTAGTTAGTTCCTAGTTAGTATTTACAATCTCGTCTTTCTAAGACCAATAGGCAATCAATTACGGTGTTTTTTTATTTTACTTAGATTAGAAGGTTTCTTAAAATATATAAATTTTAATTTTCTTTCTCTAATATAGTTTGACTTTCTATTTTCTTGATAAGTTATATTCTAATTTGTTTTACCCTTTACCAGTAAGTATCCTTAGAATTAAAACCGATTCAAACCAATTCAATCTGACTCAAATCGATCAGGTCGATTTTGAAGTATCAATCGTGTTAAACGTATATATGTAGCTGCTAAAGCCATAAATTGCAAGCTGTAGACGTCCGTTGCCAGATGGGATCTATATATGACAATTATACATGGTAATATAGCCTCAAGAAAGGAAGTTGAGGCGTTGAAGATAATTTCTCCTTTAATTTCTCCATCTCTACCATTAACCCAGATGCAATTCGTTTTTTTTTTTTTTTTCTTTTGGTAATTGGATCCAATCCAAAAGGATTATAAAAACTTTGAAAATTCCCAATTTTTCTGGATCTTCCTACAAACCTAGTCCAAGTTTGAGGTTTGTTTGTAGGGCATTAAACAAGAATGCTAATACAAATCTATATTTTTTTATGAATTTCAATGGCGGCTGGCTATTATTTTTATGAATTTCAAACTCGTAACATGTGTTTATCAAAGTCCAATTAATTAATGTCAAGCTGCAGCGTGTTAAATGTGAACAAAAGAGAAGCCGTTAGAACCTTAAAAGCCAAAAAACAAATTCCAACAACTTTTTACCGACCAATCAAAATTTCAAACTGCTTCAAACATACGAGATGATGAGCAGAAAAAGTAAAATGGATGGGGTTGAGTTGGGAAAACTTTGGCCTATGCTGTTTGAGAGAGGTTTTGGGGAATGCCACGTTACCATGAAAGTGGATAAATTAGTAATTATCATTTAATTTATTTTGATAAAAAACAAACACATTAAGAGTCAGCATTAATTATTCTATCAAGACCGAAAAAAACAAATTAAAAATTTCGGTTTTGATTTTAATTTTTAAAATTAAAAATTTGATTAATCAGATTAACTGAATATATATAACATATAATATTTATACATATTATTGACATTCATTTTTAACCGAAATAACCAAAAAGCAAATTAAAAATTTTAGTTTTAATTATTTCAATTTTTTTATTATTCGGTTTCATTCAATTTTAGTTTTAAATTTCGATTTATTCAACTCTCAGCTTTAGATTGAATTGACTTGAATTGGTTTTACAGAATACCGATTAAAGGGCCAAATTACCAATTGAATAGGTAAAGAATGAAGAGTGAAGATGGATCATACCAGACCAGACCACACCACACCACATGGACCAAACGGCTTCAGCACTTTGATGATGGTGAACAAGTAATGAAAAACCTAACATTTGAATCTATCCATGGAGGCATGGACCATGGCCTCGCCGCTAATTGTAAAGCAAGCAAACAAGCAACTGAGCAAGAAGTGGATGGAAAAGGATTAGCATTGACCGTTTTGATTTGAAAGTTTGACCGCTCGTGGCATAAGATGCGGAGATGCAGTGCCCATCACATGCACCCGCACACGCTTTCCACTTTCGCTTTGCGGCGGAACCACACAAACTTTCTTACGCATGCACTTACGCCACTTGGTATTTGGAATCGGATTTGCCGAGCCTGAACGGTTAGCCGATTAGCCGATTAGCCAGCCTCACGCTCAGCTTTCGGCTGCCACATATTCTCTCACCTCAGTTTTAACAATGACGCACCAAACTTGTCCAGATTGAACTTTGAAGCCCCTTTCTTTCAATGATTCTCCAGTCCCAACCCTCTGGAAAAGTAAAAGCCAAGCTCCGATGTGACGTCACGTCATATTAACTTCTTAAGTGACAAAAATACCCTCAAATATGTTACGTGTCTCTCTGTACTTTTTGACACGAACGTAGTGGTAATGGCAGTGGTGGGTGTTCACTACTTTTACTGTTGTTGCGTTGGTACCTGGTACCGTCGTCATCTTCACAGTGAGTAGCTGTCTAGCTGTCGTTTCCTAAGATCCCACAAATAGTAATACAACTGTGATTTGTGAATTGTCGCCGTGTCGACACTTGTCGTTTCCTGCACGTGTCCTCTCAGTGTTATCTTGCTTGCTTCCAGCCAGAGCCTACTTCCCGGATTTTCAGGGCCAGCTCTGACCAACACGTGTTGCCATATAAAGGAATTTGTCGGGACGGATTTGTTATGGGTGGTAGAAAATTAGCAATTATTTAAAATAAATTATGTTACATCTAAATTCATCTCCATGTAATAAAATTAATACTATCTATTAAGTTATATATAAAGTAATCAAATTATTACTATCAAAATTAAAGTTAATAACTTAAATAAATCATTATTTTTTAAATTAAATTTAAACAAATGAGTAGTATCTCAATTAACGATTTACCCTATATTCCAATTTAATTATACATTGATGTTCAAGTAATAATTTACTTACCCTTTATTACAAAATTAACTTAAATTAACTTAGGTTATTGGAGTTGTTTTTGCCTAGGGTCTTTGGTCAAATTGTGCCATGTCACTATATGTATATATAAATATTTATATTTATATTACTTTAAAAAGCACAAATGGCCTAAAAAATATTTTTGGAATTTTTTTAGGATAAAACTTACCCCTCTATATTTAAATTTATTTATAAAAAATGAGGGCAAATAGGGAAATAGGTCATTGATATTAAATGAGTTGAAAAGAGGTAATTTTAAGATATTCAATACATTCAATTCCCTCTCACTAAATACAACATTTAACTTATTAACTTGCATTCATGTTCATTAAATCATATATTTAAGTCATTTTTGCTTCTTCTCATCATTAATTTTTATTAATTAAATTCATACTTAATAAATTAATAATTCCAATAACATAAAAGCTTATACTTTTAAAATTTACCTAGAAAAAATAGTGTTTTCATGATCTAGGTGGTGGTAAGAAATTAAACCATTGTGGGTCAAATGGGTCAATCCATGTTGCCACGATTAAATAATAAAATAAAAAAAATAGAAATTAAAATATTGGAAGCTTTTTTATCATACATATTAAACAATAATAAGTATGATAAATAAGAAATGTCTTTATAATTGATGGAAATGGAATGTAAAGTTTAAAACCAATTGGAAATAAAAATATTTTCATATTATCTCTCATTAAATCCTATATTTAAGATATATTTTTCTCATCATTAATTCTTGTAATTAAATCCACAATATTAATTTTAATTGTATAAATTATAAGAATAAATATTTTGAAAACAAAACCATTTTCTTCCCTCCCAATGGTGGGAAAACAATTCGACCATTTGAAGTCGAATGGATTAATAAATAATGCCATGATTAAATAATAAAATAATTAAAATAAATAAGTATGAAATGAGAAAAGTATTTTTATTAATGATGAAAATGGAATGCCAAATTTAAAATCTACCTAGAAATGAAACGATGTCATAGTCAAAAATAAAAAAAGATGGAGAAAATTTTAGACAACTAATGTTATATATTTATAAAAAATAAAATATTGGGTACATCTCTAATATTATGCATTCATTATATTGAACAAAAAAAAAGTATTATAGATAAGAAATAATTTTATCAATGATAGAAATGTAATACAAAATTAATGTCAGTCTAGGAATCAAACTATTTTTCTTTTTGTGTGGTGGATTAGTGGTTTGGGTTAAATGATATCATAGACAAACAAAAATTAAGTGTGATAAGTAAAAATTATTTTATATATTGTAAATGAAATATATAATTTAAAGGGAAAATTATAGTCAAAGCCATACATTTAAAATTAGGTTGAAGGTTGGTCTACAAACCAACAAACTCTTACAACTGACTCTACATTTCAAATTATAAAAACCCCTGCCATGTCATCGGAAGATTATGTGGTTGTTGCCAACATGAGACTCTTAACCCATGTTGATTACAGCAAAAAGTCTGCCGAAAATAGGTTTTCAGTCTCTCCCGCTCCCTCTGTCTCTCGATCTCCCTCCTCTCTCACTCTCACGGTCATCTCTTGATCTTCTGCTCCCTCACTCTCCCTCTTAATCAATATTTCCTTCTCGTTTAATCTCTATCGTTCCCCCCCAGTCTTTCTCCTGCTCCTTCTCTTGTTCTTTTTTTTTCTTACAAACCTATACAATATTAATCAAACCATATAAAAGAACTAAAAGGACCAACCACTTGTACAATCAAGTTATAAATTTCTATCAAATTGGTGTAAATTTCATAGCCAATAATTTCTTGTGAATTTTTATCAAATTGTTGTAATGATTTTTGAACCATACCAAGTTGGTCTCATGTTCTTCTAAACTATCTGACCAATACCATATAAGTGTATAAT